GGGGGGGCAGGGGTGGGGGAGGGAAAGGGAGGGGACACCTTCCCAGGGAGGCCCCCCACAACCTGTCTTTGATTGCCTCGTTGACATTTTTGCCAAAACACCACTAGTGGAAGTCAGGCTGGCTGTGCTGGTATGGAATAGCAGCCTCACTGGCATATGGACTGTTCTGTAGATTATTAATACAAGTGGAGCTGTCTTTAATTTAACTTTATCGCTAGAAATAAAAGGGTTTTGAGACGAATTCGCGTGGATGGAATGGCCCTCGTTTTTAAGGAAAGCAACGCAAAAAAAAAAAAAAAAAAGGGGAGTTCTGTGGTTCCAGTAAGGCTTCGTGCGTTTGTTTCTTCAGTCCAAGTGCCGTGTGTCCGTACCACGTCGCGGGGCGTCTCATGCAGCGCTCTGCCTGGCAGGGCGCAGCTTAAAATCCCCAAATTGAGAAGGAATTAAAAAAAGACAAACAACTAAAGAATTCGGGGCTTGCAAAGCCCTGGGATTTAGGCCATCCAATTTATTTCTTTTTCTTGTTAAGATATTTATTAGGGTAGCTTACAGTATTAACACTAAATTGCAGTTTACAGTATTTCTACATTACAGCCATATGACATCAAGCCTTTGATTGTCTGTTTTTTCTTTTGCTAGTTCTTTTGGCTTGCCTTCCTGATCAGTCCTCGCCTGTGGACTGGCTTTAGCTATTCTGTGTCACCCAAGGCAAGAAGACCGCCCGCCCGAGGAACATCAAAGCTGCTCTAGTTTTTTGGTCAACAGCTTAACAGGTGCTTGGCTAGCGGCTGTTTCAACTATTTTAAGTCCACAGCAAAAGGTTTAAGAACTTAATTAGACAAGGGGGAAGTGTTTCAACTTAAAACCGCCACTTAAATAAAAAATAATAAAAAAAATAAAAATAAAAAAAAAAAAGAGCATTCAGGTCTGTATGTCATGTACTGTGTTTGGTATTTCAAAAGACCATCCTGATTTAAGGTGCCACAGCTGCTTCCTCAGGGATTGCACTGCCATTTCACTCTGCCTGACTTTCTCCCACTGTACCATGAGGTTTGTCAGCAGATCTCGGGCGCCCAGGCTCCCTTGTTTGTCACCAGGGAAGCCGGGTGCGTTTTCCTTTCTCCTGGGGAAGCTTGTGGTGTAATGAGTGAACTTCAGGAGCTTAGAAACTAATTTGGTAGAGAAATCCTCAAGGGAAGAGCTACAATCATAGACATTTCTATCAACCATCGGGAGCCCAGGAACTTAGTTCTCTTCTTAGCCAAATCTTTTCCAAGTCTGTCTGATCCGGCTGGGGGTGGGAGACGGGGCATCTGAGTTGCTTCGCAGGTCATACTTACCCCATTTTGAGTAAATTCGGTTTCAGTTTTTATTTTCACATCGTTGTTGGAAGTTCACTGCTGTTCTCTGGCTCGCGGAGCGCTGTGCCACGGAGCTTTTCACCTCAAGCCGTGCAGTGAGGAAAAATCGCACTCGTTGCTTTTCAATTTGATTTCCTTGGTTTTTTTTGGAAACAGGCTTTCCTCGTCCCTTGCGAGAGTCAGCCCGCCAACAGCGCGTCGTGGTGTCGCACACACGG